ATCGCCGGCCTCAGGGGAGTCCGATGACGGTTATATGGAGGGTCGTGAGCTTGGCTTGGAGCAAGAGGAAATTGGCTTATCCTATCGACGATAGAGAGCTGAATGAGTATGATTCGTCCAGAGTCGCTCACACACAGCAGTACAGGTACGTAAAAAGAGTGAAACACGTTGTCTGGCTCAAACCACCCTCAAAAAATGACTTTTTTTCTACGTTGTAAAAAAGTAAAATACGTTGTTTGACTCAAACCCCTGTTAACCCAAAAAAAAAAATGACTCTTTCCTACATCCTTTTCTCTAAAAACAACTCAGTAATACCAATAGGTGAGCAATCACGTTTAGGGTACAAATTGATACTCCACTTGATTAGATTGCATTTTAGAAAATGGGGATGCAATCTATTACTTGTAACAACCGCTTTGTGGCTAACAGTAGCGTGACATGTGGTCCTTGCGATACCCCATCCTTTTCTCTTAAAATAAAGCGCTTAGAGTACAAATCATGTCAAAACATTCCGCATACGAGTTTAAATCTTAGTGACACATACAAAAATTTTGGTGTCCTACGACACCGTTCATAGGAGTTGAGTGTATAAATCTGCGAGTGAGTCTGATACTAGGAAACATGTATGGACAATTCGTATATCCAAGTTATCATCAATTTCTTCTGTGTGTGGCTGAGGGGAGATTGTTGTCGATCTCACCCGATAAGAGATGTTCTGATAGGATTTGTACCTAATCGGCCCCCAACTGGACCGTCAGCGTTATTGCATCACTGATTGCGCGCGCGCACAATTATTAATGTCTCGGTGCAGTGAGGACCCAAAGGCCGCCACAGCGAGCACACATGAGGACATAGATATGCTTACACACACATGTGCCCCCTTATTTGTGTAGGGTTTTTGTCCTCAGTAGCTACCGGTCACAGATTGGCGCAGGCCATAAGATTAAACTTCTTTAAAACTTGAGAATTTGACAATTAAAGTAAAAAATGTTTATATTGTAACATATTGATTCTTCCTTCCACATCAAGAACTGATTGCCATTGTATATATCGATATTTTTATTTATTTTGTATTCTGTTCTATAGGTTTAAAGGTAATCAAGTAAACTTTATATTTTGAGTTCACGAGAAAATATAGAAGTACTTTGGGTACAGATCCTCTCCAATTAGGTGGTTATTAGAGGGTATATATCCAACTACTCTAGTCTTACCTTCTACTTCAATTTCAAGGGATGAGATGATGCCATGAAGGATTACAACCGTCGTCTTAAAAATCATTGTTGTCTTGAAAACTGATATTGTGAAAACCACTAGAACAACAATGAAAATCCTACGTGAGAAATTAAACCGACCCTTAAAATTGGGATGAATGGTAGAGATTCGAATAACTGGACACTCTCTGATTACCACGTAACTGGAGAGGATGGGGTTTATAAAAAATCTCTAATGTTAAATGACGCAAGCTTCGGCTAAAAGAAAATATCAGTGAAGTAGGCATATTTATTAGAAACCGAAACATTCATCGAAGGACAAAAAAAATCCAGACAAACCTGTTGATGAGATAAATTAACAATATTTCTAATTAATTTTCTTCATCTGTACACGCGCGCAGGTGTCTCGACAAAGCCGCGATAATTCCAGCATCCGCTTCAGTCTCCGACCCAGACGACACGGCTGGTAAAATACCGGTCACAAAAACGGCGGCAACCGTAAACCAAGTAGAAGAAGTAAAAATGATAATCAAACTGCTCCCAATCTGGTCCACCTGCATCCTGTTCTGGACCGTCTACTCCCAGATGACGACGTTCTCTGTGGAACAGGCCACGTACATGAACCGAGACGTCGGCTCCTTCGTTTTCCCTTCAGGTTCGCTCTCCGTCTTCCTCTTCCTCACGATCCTCCTAACAACTTCTCTCAACGAAAGACTCCTCATCCCCTTCGCCCGCAAGTTCACGCACAATGTTCAGGGCATGACCAGCCTCCAGCGCGTCGCCATTGGGCTCGTGTTCGGAATGCTGGCAATGGCTGCGTCTGCGGTCGTTGAGAACAAGAGGAGGCGGCTTTTGGTCGAGCGCGGCGTAAAGATCAGCTGTTTCTGGCTTGTTCCTCAGTACTTCCTGGTGGGCACCGGCGAGGCCTTTGCTTACGTTGGGCAGCTGGAGTTTTTCATCAGAGAGGCTCCGGAGAGGATGAAGTCGATGAGCACGGGCCTGTTTCTGACGACGCTGGCGCTGGGGTTCTTTCTGAGCAGCGTGTTGGTTTCCTTGGTCGACGAGGCGACGGACGGAGGTTGGATCAGGAACAACTTGAACAAGGGGAGGCTGGATTACTTCTACTGGATGCTTGCAGTGTTGGGGGTGATAAATTTTATACTGTTTTTGTATTTTGCGAGTAGGCACGAGTACAAGGCTCAGAACTTGGACTGGAAGAATGATCAAGTTGAGGCGAGCAGTGAATCCAAAGGCCAGAGGAATGGGGATGATGGTGTTAAGCAAGTAATAGATGAAGTTCAGGAGTTTGTTTGAAGAAATCAGGATATGAGGTTGGATCAGGAAGTTGTTAATTGTAATACATATGAAGATGTTTAGAAAATTTTTTTTGAGAGTGTTTGCTTGATTGTAAGTTTTTGCCTTCAAACCCAAAGCTCTCCCCTGATTTTACTCTTAAACCAAGTTGTTTATAAACACAAGCAGCCTTGTATATATAACTTTTAACCCAACCTCCCAAATACACTGCGTAACCATGTAGTCCCCCTCTAATAAATTTTGTAGAAGCCTATTTTACCCTTTCTCTCCCTCCATTCTCTGTCCCTTACCTCTAATATTTTTTTTTTGAGTTGGTAAAAAACACAATTAAAATTTTTAATTGCAAAAAACACCATAAAAGTTTAAAATTTATAAAAAACATTCTTAAAAATTTTAAATACGAAAAATTCGCTATAAATTTAGGAATTATAAACAGTCCCCTAAAAGCTTAGAATTTACAATAAGTACACTAAAATTTTCAAATTTGCAAATACACCTTCAAATAAAATTTTTTACAAAAAGCACCCTAACAAAGTCAAATTTTAGAAGAAACACCTAAGAATTCCAAACCTACAAGTAGTATATACCAAAAATCTATTGTGAGCAGCCCCTTAAAGATTTATAATCTGCAAAAAACACCCTACAAATTTTAGCAATTGCAAAAATTACCTAAAATTTTTTCGAAACGCTCTAAGAAAATCAAAATATTAAAAAACATATTGTTGTAAGTTTTGATCTTTTTAGAGTATTTTTGTAAATTTTGACTTCTGAGGTTGTGCAACTTTGACTTTTCAGATTTGTTGTAAAACTTTTAGGTTGTTTTCTTCAAATTAATTCTAAGTTTTTCAAGGGTTGTTCATAATTCCTAGATTTAGGGCGTATTGTTTCTATTTTAAATTTTTAGGATGTTATTTATAAATTTAGAGAGAACGGAGAGAAAGTGATAAAATAGGCTTTTAAAAAAATTTAGAGGGGGACCCAATATTATGTAGTGTATTTGTGAGATTGGGTGTAAAGATAAATACGCAAAGTAGTTTGGGTTTATAGACAAAAATAAAATAACTTGGGTTTAAAAGTAAATCAGGGTAAAGCTTTGGGTTTACAAGCAAAAACCCCTAGTTTTAATTACTCTGGCTTCTCTCTATTTTGGAACTCGTGAATATTATCAAAGTTTTATTCAGTTTGTTAGGATTTATTCTGGAATGTTAATGCTTGGCATACGGTAAACAAAAGGAAAGTTCAAAATATGCATTGATTTCTCCAGAGTTTTAGTACTAGTTAGTGATGTAGGACCTAAGAATCAATTATCGACGTGGGATGCTTAACGGATAATTTCATGGATGAGCAGGACAATCACAAGAAAAATACGCATATATATGTATTATTGACTTACGCAAAAAAAATAATCATATCAACCCAGAAGATGGATCGTACCATATTATATATGTAAATCGCATACCTTGACGAGACGGAACCACCCTGATTGTCAGATTTTTAAAATCCCATCGGTAATACCCAGTTTTGACCGAACTCCGAAAACAACCAGCTTTAGGTTTATTTTTAGTAATAAAATTAGAGCCAATTTAGATTAGAAAATAAAATCAATTTCAATTTAATTTGGACTGATTTCTTCCTTTATTGTAGAGAGTTTTTTAGGTAGTTTTAAATCATTTCTTTCTTTTAGGATTTTTGTTCTTATTAGGAGTAAGCTTTGTTTTTCGATTTAAGAAGAATGACTGTAAACCTCATTAAAAGAACACTTTTACCAATAAAATTTCTCTTTTAATATTTTTTGTGGATTTAAAGTTCTTCGTTGATTCAGAGATCATTCTTTATGGATTCAAAGAGCACCTCTTGGTGGATTTCGAGGTTTATCATTCTCGTACTACATTAATTGGTATCAGAGCTCTTTTTCTTCGATCTAATGGCAGGCAACGAAGCCCCTATTACAAAATTCAGATTAAGACTCGCATGGACTGGCTTGCATTAGCAGTAAAGTATTTGAACCAAGGACGGGTTCAACATCATGTTGATGGTCGCTAAAGATGTGATAAGATTCTGCATGAAGAATTCAACAATGACTTCAACGAGTATGAAGCCGAGCGTCGAAATCATAATCATCAAGACTACTCAAGATGAGATATCTATGATATTTAAAATTTAAGGGTTTATTTAACGTATTTCAATGGGAAACTAGATGTAGAAGATTTTTCTTAATTGGATTGATGAGATAGAGAGATTTTTCGGGTACTTGGGAATCGCAAAAGATTAGAAAATTAAACGAGTAGCCTTCGACTCAAGGGTAAAGCAACTTTTTGGTGGCAATCATTATGTGAGGATTGAGCATATTAATAGAAGCGAAAATCCGGTCATGGAAGAAGATGAAGGAATTGATGAAAGCTCATTTTCTTCCAATATATTATTATGTACTCAATCAATACCCGAGTTCACATTCTGACTGTGATCATGGAAGGATTGAGCAACTCCAATCTATCCCTAAGCAAGACTTTAGAGTTGTGAAGAACATTGAAGAAATAAAGAAAGAAGAACCATCTCAAAAGCTCTACATGAGATGCACTATGATGTAGAAGATTTGTGATGTTATCATTGACAACTATAATAGCAATAATTTTTCACTCGGCAGGTAGAGAAAGGTTTGAAAACAGAGAAATACCCCACTCCCTACAAGATTGACTAGATTTACAAGAGCAATAATGTGCAAGTTGATGATGTGTGTTGGGTACCTTTTTCCATCTGTAGTAATTATGTTGATGGGGGTGCTGTGTAACGTGGTTGAGATGGATGTTGGCCATATGATTTTAGATTGGCCATGGTAGTTTGATGTAGGTGCTTCCCATAGAGCAGAGACAATGTCTATATCTTCAAGAAAGATAGATGTCGAAATGCGTCCATGCCTCTTATAGAAAAGAAGTCATCCATGATAAAGACTACTGATAAGAAAAGATTTTTGGTCTTAGACAGTAAAGCTTTAACATAAGACTTAAAGCTATCTACAGAGGTTTATGCCTTGGTTGTAATAGAAAAGAAGAACCTACCCCTACTGAGATTCCTCCTGAGGTGCAAGCCCCTTTTATAACTGAGATTCCTAATATTGATGGTGGTATGTTAGTGAAGATAGCTATTATGCATGAACTTTTTGAAGCTATTGTGAGTGATATTATAACTGTTAATGTTGTTACAATGGAAGAGAAGGGTAAAATTTGGAGCGAGACAATTGATGATATATGTAACTTGCTTGGTAGAGGGTCCAGGGCAAAGGATCTTAAAGAACTGGGGATGGAGTATTTAGAAAATTCTTCTTTGAAAGAAATGATCATCAATGATTTCAACAATGATGAGATGATACTACCGGCACTAGAATATGAGAAGCAAAGTTATTTTTGATTCAATTTGGATTGATTTATTTTCTTTATTATAGAGAGTATTTTAGGTAGTTTTAAATTATTTCTTTCTCTTAGAAAATTAGTTCTTATTAAGAGCATACTTTGTTTTTTAATTTATGAAGAATGATTGTAAACCTCGAAGGATTATAAACCTCATCGTATTAGATCACTTTTATCAATAAATTTCCTATTATTAATTTTTTTTTCATGATTCAAAGTTCTTCGTGGATTTGAATATTATTCTTTGTGGATTCAAAGAACACCCCAAGGTGGATTCTGAGGTTTTTAACTTTCGTACTATGTTAGTTGGTATCAGAGCCTTGTTTTTCTGATCTGATGGTAAATGATGAAACTCATGTTACCTGAACTGAGTTTGATGAATTAAAGATGAGAGTTACTCAAATGAAGACTTCCATTGACTGACTTGCGCTGGCAGTGGACTGTTTAAATCTAGGACGAGATCAATATCACATTGTTGGTTTCCAAAGATGAGATCCGACTTTAGAAAATAAATCCTACAGCAATGATTGTAGAGGCTACCGAAGAAAAGAGAACTATGATGCTAGGCGATTAAAGATATCATCCTTCAATGGGAAGCTTCATGCTAATGATTTTCTTGATCAGATTGATGAAGTAGATAAATATTTCAAGTATGAGATAACCCAAGAAGATTAGAAAGTTAAATTAATGGTTTACAGACTTAAAGGAAAAGCATCTATATGGTGGGATGAAATATTGATAAATCGATATCATTAAGGAAATGATTTGGTTCGAACGTGGGCGAAGATGAATAAATTATTGAGAGACTATTTCATACCTTCTAGCTACAAATAATGTCTGGTGTCTTTAAAAGATTCTTTTACCTTAGATAACATTGTCCATATATTGAAGAAGGTGGAGGAGAGAACTTGAGCAGAATGTCGAAGGACCTTCGTCATGGATGACTTTGGAGAGTACTTGCACTAGTTATGATTGTGGCAAAACTAAAAAAACCCTAATTCATATCTAAGAAAGAGTTTGGATTTGTAAGACTTCATTAGTTATGTGGATCATAGAGCCAGAGGCATTTAAGATAAAGATTGGTAAGAAGAAGTTTTTTCTAGTGGCAGACAATGAAACACTCACAACCAAAAAGGAAGATTCTGCCACCATAAGATTCATCTTGAAGTGCAAACCCTCATTGTGCATGATTCCTGATGTTGATGGTGATATGTTAATGAAGAAGGATATTATGCATGATATTCTCAAAGGCGTCATGAGTAGTATTACACATGTCGATGTTGTCCTGACAGAGGAGAAGAATATAATAGCGAGTGAATCGATTAATGATATGTGTAACTTGCTTGGTGGAGGATACAGAGAAAAGTTGATGAAAGAATTAGGAATGGAGTATATGAAAAAATTCTTCTTTGGAAGCAATAATCGTCAATTTTCTCAATAATGTTGAGATGATACTTTTGACAGTAGAATATGAGAAGCAACAAGAAAAATATTTAAAGGAGTTTTTCATGAAAACTACAGAGCCACATACCGCCAGTAACATAAACATGTTGTAGGAAAGATTCATTCAAACATTTTATCAAAAGAAGCCCTAGCCAAGGAGGTAAAAGAAATAGATAGAGAAAATCAATGGTAATTACAATACGGATGCTGCACAATGCAGGAGAAGAAAAATATTTGTCAATGAAGCTACTACTCAAGCAAATATAAGCTTGGGGTCTAACTTGTTGT